CAGATAAACCAATTTATTTTTACTCTTAAGGTCGTTTGAGGATCTCTTCCTAGAGAAGAATGCTGTAGGAGATAGGAGGGATGTATAATACTTTTCAAATAATATGGTATCATTGGGAATATTGTTACTTATAAACCAATCTGACAATATTAATTTAACCTCGTGAGTATAGAAAAGATAGGAAAACAGTCCATGGATAATATAAATCCCAGTCTGCTAATGTTTGTTTATCCTGCTTAAGTTGTATAAAAGTACCATGAAAAAAATAAGAGTAGTAGATGGCAGTAGGAGAAAACCATGAGATTCAGTTCAGCAGGGGTTCAATCTAATGATTACTTTAGTAATTGTAACATGTACCAAGCACAATAACAAGTACTTAATATACCCTATCTCATTTTAGCTGCATAATAGCATCATAGGGTGGGTGGTTGTGATCTCCATTTTACAGGTAAGGTTAATGTTACATTTTACAGTTAAGATTAAGAGGTGCAATGACTTCTCCAGAGTCACAGAACTACTAGTTGGTGAAGCGGTGATCCCATTGGAGCTCTGATTATAAGACTCCTAGCCTCAGTGCTATCCTGTTTTGAGTACTCTGTAAAGGCCTTATAAAAAGACCTCTGTAGATTCAGAGGCCCACTTAGGTAGCATCAAAATAGAAGGAACAGAAACCTAACCAGATTAGCTGGAGAAAAAAAGGAGAAGGGACATTAGAAAATTCCTAGGGAGCTTCTTGAAATAGAATTACAGGAGCTTCCTTCAAGGAGTCCATGGAGGAGTCAGTTACCCCTCCCATTCAATCTGGGACCTTAGCTGCATGTGGGAGAGGGGCTAAGGATATATAAGCCAAGTACGCCATGAAGTACCTCGCGACATTTTGTGCAGCTGTTGGGAAGTCACAGTATATATATTTGAGTGTGGACTTTGCAGTGCAGCTGTAAATGGGGAGGGGGGCACCCACTCTTCCGTAAATAAACCACCACCCTATGCTCTGTTAGCAAGTCCAATAAACTTGTTAGGATTGAAAAAAAAAAAAAAAAAGAAGAGCGCTAATGGAAACCTTCATTATACTATCAAAGTTGATCCCATGTTAGCAAATCCTTTGGTCTTTGATTTCTTATTCCTATCCCCCCCCCTTAAATTTCATTGTATATATATTTTTATGTAACCTGCTTCAAGTTATTTCTGGAAAAATGTGTTAAAAATTGCCTTTCTTTGGAATAGTTAAAAAAAAGTAATAAAAATTTAAAAAAAGAATTACAGGAGCTTCATAGTGAATGAGGCAAGCTAGAATGTTCTCAGGCATCTGCAGAGAAGATGATGTTAATTGGAGGTTAGATTATAACAATAGCAGACTAGATAAA